ATCTCCACTTATTTTCAACTACCTGACCATGTTGACATTTCAAGACTGAGTTTTCAGATACATATTGGATTTTATATGACTATTGATTTTTTTTTGGTCGATTGTGGGGCCTGAACTCACACGCTTTACTACTGAGCTATTTCTAAGCCATTTAAACTTTAAATAACTAAGTCACACCTTATCTTCCTGTGCCTATATTGAGAAATAAATGTTGGGGTTAGATTAAAAAAAGATTAACCACTCAAAAACCAGTGTGCAGCAAGTGTGCAGCCGGGTGCCAGTGGCTCACACCTGTAATCCTGGCTACTCAGAAGGCTGAGATCTGCAGGTCCCAGTTCAAACTCAGCAGGGCAGGAAAGTCTGTGACACTCTTACCTCCAATAAACCACCAGAAAACTGGAAGTGGCACTGTGGCTCAAGGACTAGAGTACTAGCCTTGAGCTGAAAAGCTGAGGGACAGCGCCCAAGCCCAGAGTTCAAGCTCCATGACTGAGAAAAAAAGATAAAAATGTCATGTGCTGGTGGCTCATACCTGTAATTCTAACTTCTCAGGAGGCTGAGCTATAAAGATCATGGTTACAAGACAGTCTGAGTAGGAAGTCTTCGAGACTCTTATGTCCAATCAATCACAGAAAAGGCCGGAAGTGGGGCTGTGGTTCAATGGTAGAGCACTAGCCTTGAGCAAATGGAGCTCAGGGACTGTGCTCTGCTCAGAGTTGAAGCCCCAAGACTGGGGAGAAAAAAGAAATAAGAAAAAAGTGTGTTACAGATGTTGGTTTTTTAGTGGTTAATTGGAGATAAGTGTCTCATGGGCTTTCCTGCCTTGGCTGCATTTGAATCTTGATCTTCATATCTGAGCCTCCTGAGTAGCTAGGATTGCAAACATGAACCGGAAGTTGCCAGTCTATAGCTCCACTTCCGGCTTTTTGTGGTTAATTAAAACTAGAGATAATTGTCTTGGGGAGGGGGGAATGTATCTCTAGTGGTAGAGCACATGGTTTGCATGCATGAGGTCCTGGGTTTGATTCCCAGCATCCCACTTTCTTGTTCTCGACTACCTGTCTGTGTCTACATTTCAAGATTGAATTTTCAGAGACATATATTGGGTTTTATAAGACTACTGCTACTTCTAAGCCATTTAAACTTTTTTTTAAATTTAATTTAATTTTATTTGTGAACATACTGTACAGAGGGGTTACAATTGCATGGGCAGGATAATGCGTACATTTCTTACCAAGCATTGCAGCCTCCTCCTT